CAGCTAATGTGATACCTTTCAGAGCAGTTGTTAGTGTATCTAAGCATCATCTAGTTCTTCTGATCTCAGAGTTGTGGACACTGATATTCACATGTTCCACTCGTTTGTTGGACTAATTGATTCCAAGCCTCTTCAATTCTCATTACTCTTCATTCTTCTGCACATGGAGAGATCAATAGCTTCTCCTTGGATGGCCATTCATGAGCTTTTAAGATCCCAGATGCTACTCTCCGAAGTAGGATGTAGAACATTATTTTGTGGACTATGTTATGCCAATTGACTATGGTGCCCCCTGAGAATATGATCCTGAGCCCCCAGGCCCAGCAAGTCATTGCCTTCAGATGTTTGATAATATTTAAGAAGTTTTTTTTTTTTTCATCACCACATTCATAGTTGTGTTAAAATTTCATTCTTTTGATTTAATTTTTTCATAAATTTCTGAAGCCCCCTTATATATATCACATTTTTATGTTTTATTTTTTTAACTTTTATTTACGTATTTATTTTTTTACATAAACTCTGTGGGACAAATGGGTCCTTGTGTGGCACCGTAGGAGAAGCACTGGACTTCTAACCATAGGGTCAGCAGTTCAAACACACCAGCTGCTCTTAAAAACCCTATCCAGGGTCCCTATGAGTTAGATGGCACACAACAACAACTATGGGATAAACAGATGTAAAATAGACTTTTATGGGTTAACCAGAATTAATCATTTCCAACATGTTTTCTATGCATAATACATTTGAATTTCAAACTATTTGATTTTAAATAAAATTTTCAAGTGCAACTGATTCTTTAATTGAGTTCTGCTTTTATAGTGTTTGGGCTATTGAGAATCCAAAGTGAAAGTTTAATAGCAATGTAATAATATAATTATTACTTGTCAACATTTTATATAAGATCTGCCACCTAAATTATTCAATTTTGTTAAGGATTTTTTTTTTTAATGTTTTATTGTGAATTATGTGATAGTTTACATGGGAGAACATTGATTTTACATTCATTCTATCGTATATCATCTCATTGCCATGGTTATAATCCCCTCCATGCAATCCTTCCCCCGTGCCCCCCAGGTCTTCAGCACACAGT